ATATATATATATATATATATATTATTTCTGCCTCAAACGAATATTATATGGTATTTTAGATGGATGCATAACAGTAAAATAGGGCAAGGAGGCTAAAAAATTCATAGAAGACCCTATTTGAGAAGATGAAAATGACTCTCTTAAGGTAAGAGTTTGAATTTTTCTATAAGAAATTCTACAAATGGTAAAAATGATCAATCACCTGCAGAAGGCGCTGCAAATCCAAATGCATTTTCGGAAATCTTCTATCATCTAGCATTTGTTTCTTCAGTGCAGAACCACCTGCAACCAGAAGATATAGCGTGATTTTAAACAACAAATCAAGTATAAATTGTACAATATAATCATCATTGTATACAAATTTATTAACTGAATAAAGTGGCTATAAAACACAGCTTCAGAAAGGTTTGAAAACGTTAAATGCAGCTAAAGGAACTAGCATCAGCAGAAACTAGCAACATTTCACTTTGTTTGTTTCAAAAGAAGAATATAAGGCCAACAATCTTTGAGCAATTCAAACGCAGATTCATCTATGGCTCAGGAGAGCACATTAGAAGAAATGCTTAGTTGAATATATTTGAAAATTTTAAGATAAAAAAAAAAATCTCCTACACCAGTTTTAATAGAACAGACTTGAATTGGTGATGATGAACTAAATGTTCATGCCGGTATTCATTTTTTATATAAACCATACTAAAACCCTTTACACAATACACAAGCAAGTGTTTGCTTGTAATTCCACACCATGCACAAAAAGAACTTACAAAACATGTAGTATAGGATTCATTTTTGTAACCAGCATTTCAAGAAAATGAGTAAGAAAACAGAAATCCTGAATTAGGAAACCTAACACTAGAATGCTTTGAATGGATTGTGATGCTACTCTAGCTTTTGTCCTTTCCAAGGAAAAATAATTCAAAGCTTGACAAGTTCCATCTGATTTAACTAAATAGCCGACTAGTTAAAATTAAATGCAATTTGATTCAAATTAATAGCATTAGTTTTACGCTTCTTCCTCGGGTAAAATAGTGTAATGAACCAAACCCTTGAATCAGCCCATCCTTGACCATCAAAAACATGGAAGACTTAGCCACAACATGTGAATTCCCTCGTTTTTTACATTGCCGCCTTCATTGTACAAGAATTCCACCCCTCATCGCCATCAAAAGCGAAAAGTAGGGAATTGAGTAAGGGTTCTCCCACAAGTTTGTTTCTCCCACAAGAGCAAGATCACCCTCTCACGCTGCAAGTCTTCATTGCCTTGTTCCAGCTGTCGCATATTGTCATCCGAGCCTTTCCCCGTTATCACTTTCTTTGACATGCATCAGCATCCACTCTTGAGTCATGATGTCACTCTCCATCACAATTAGATTTTCTTCTTCATCTTCCCCTTACTGTTTTCCTTCACACTTCCTTAAGGCATATCCATTATTAAAATTCTTTGTTATAGTTGTTGGATTGTTTTTGTTGTTTCTTGAAAATTCTCACCACTACTATAAACATCTACATCTTCTTACAAATTAAGACTTCTTTGTTTAACACATTCTTCCCCTGGATCTCAAGTGAGCATTTGACTCCATATTGCATTGTGAGGAAGGTAATTTTTATTTATTGAAGGATGATGTACAATTATTTATTAGGGGCATTATCCCTGATACTTACATCATATTTACAAGAATATTTAGTAGATTATATGTCATAACTTATATGTATAATGTTGTCTTTCATGCTCAAAATTTTCTTACATATTTGTAAAAGTTTTATAGATACCTCATAATGCTATATGATGTGTAGATCGCTTTATCATGATAATTAAAGTATAAATCTGATAGAAAATGCTTGTAGAAAACCAAGAAAAGATTGGCTGAATTTGAATTTCAGCTAAGGCTAAAAAGCAATTGAGAAGAACGATGAAGAAAACTAGGAGAAAATCTTTATAATTGATGAAATATGGAAGAAAACGAACAATATATAATGGATCTTCAATTCGAGAGGAAGATTCGGCTCTCTCAATCTCTAGCCACTAGCTATAGCCCAATCAATCCTTAGAACAATCTAATTTCAGCCAAACCAGAGATAACCCTAACCCTAGGGAAAATATCCTATTGAAGCATATAATCATGAAGTAAATCCCAAAATAGCCCTTCCTTTGAATCTTCCCTCCTGAACACATTAATCCCTCTCTTAATATCAATGTTGGACCTCACCCAAAGAGATCAAGTTCCGCCTGTGATAAACTAAGGCCAATTCAGAATGGACCAGTCCAATGACCAGTCGAACATATTTACTTCTATACATCCCTTTTTTGTGTTATGGACCTTCTCAAAATTTCAACACTTATTTCCCTTTTTCTTCCCATGTAAAGCCAACCAACAAAAATCTATCAAAACCCAGTCACTCAATCTTCCTTCAACTCTGCACACAATAACTTTTATATCACAGACCCTAACAACTCAAGTAACCTCTTACCCACATCTTAAGCATTCCATAAAATATCTACACCCAATCTACTTACAAAACCCATCTTTAAACTCCACTTAAAATCAACTACCAAAAGTAATCCAAAACAGGCCATCCTTAAATAGTTCTACATAAATATGGGAATCTTTCTTAATATTTTAAAAGACTCAAATAACTTCAAAAAGGTCCTCTTACATTCCCCCACGTTAAATAAAATCCTCGACTCAACCTCATTCCTAAGTCCATCATATACCCTCCATCAATTCGTATCAAAAATTAAATTTGGAATAGGCAATAAACTTCAAGAAACTTTTATAAGGGCAATCAACAAGGCTTAATAAGTGGCAACCTTTATTTTTGACTTGTAGATGACCTCCGCATCTTAAACTTAGATTTTCTTGCTTTGGTATTAATCTATGTACAATTTGATTTAGGCGGTTGCATGTTTCAAGGCAAACTTAAGATATAACTTCATCCTAGATTCCTAGTAGTAAAATCTACTTATAAGCTTAAATACTTTCCAAAACTTAAGTCCTGGGTGCTACATTTTGAAAGTGTCTTTTACTTCAATTACATTGGTACGTATCTAGATTGCTATTATAGACATGGTTGGTTATACTATGAAGTTTTGATGCAAGCAAGGCTGTCCCGGTTCCGTTTTGCTAGTTGTTCGGTTCCTGCATGGCTGTCCAAATTCCCCTTGCTTTGGGTAGTTCGGTTCTCGCTCCCTGCTTGGCTGTTCGGTTCCTCTGCTTGTCCCGATTTTTCCCCTGGCGCCTATCTGTTGACTGTTCCGCGTGCCCCTTCGTGTGCTGCTCCAGCGGATGTCTTTTGGTCTTTTGCCTCCCTCTGTTTTATTGGTTTGATTGGGTGGTTGTTTGCTGTTTAGTTCCCTTTCTTCACCTATATATTAAGGCTATTTTGTTGCTGTTTTAAGTAAGGTTATGTGATGATTTTTGGACAAGAAAACCTTAGGGTTCTTCTTTGATAGCTTGCGAGCTATGTACCCCTTTCTCTTCTCCTCTCTTTAACTTCGTCTCTGGCTTCTTATCTACTTCTCTCCGCAAGTTTACACCCCATTTGTATCTTTCTTCTCTTTAAAAACTTATATAGTAGTTGTGTCATTGTTACAAGCTTGTAGTGTCAAATTTAGTGTTTTTTAGTTATTTTGAAAGGAAGACGAATAATTTGTTTGCAATCTTAGTTTTTCTTAAAATTTTGGTTGCATCAAGTTTGTTTGATATTAGTTTTTTTCTATTGTGGAATCAATTTATGATAGATAAAGTATACTTTTAAATAAATTTATCTGATGATTTTTCCACTAAATAGGCAGTAATCTGAAATAAAATTCTGATGCGGACATCCAACTGTCCATGGCTATCCGAGGAGCTGAAGATCAACGGCTGTCATCGTCCCACGTTATCTTATATTTTATTTGTAATTTTTAAATCTTTATTATGAATTTTTTGTTTTTACCCTCACTTAAGAGGGTCGTCCTATGTAAGCCTTAGGGGCATATGTGTCTTGTTTTAGTTTCTTAGGCCTATATATAGAGGTCCTTTCTTATGTTATGAGATAATGAATTGTTAATGAAAATTTGCTTTTTGTGTTCTCTTTGTGAGTTCCATCTTTTAGATCTCTTAGTGAGTTCTTTTTCTTTTGAGATCTCTTAGTGAGTTCTCTATTTTGTGTTCTCTTTGTGAGTGCATCCCACTCCCAAATCTCTTAGTGAGTTTTGGGAAGAGCTAGATCTCTTTGCGAGTTCTAGACATTCCTCCAATTTTTCTTTGCGATCAATTAGTGTGAGAATTCAAGGAGAATCCGTCCGGATCGCATTCTTCCTTGAACTCCATCCCTTCACCTGTTTCCACCCAGCACTTCCGCCGCCCCTCCTCCAGCCCGCTCAGGCCGCCGACCTCCAGGCCACTGCCTCTCGCCGGCCATCCACCTTCCACACCGTGGCCGCCCCTTTCCTCCCTCCTCTAGCCGCCGGCTTCCCTCTCCTTGAATTTCAAAAATTGAAATTTAAATGTTTTATGGGCCATTAATTGTTTCCTAAAGTAGCTCCTTAATTTACGTCATCAATTTAATTGATTTTAATTTCAAATTTGAAATTCAAATTGCTTAAATTGATTGGCCTCTAAAATGGAAGTTTTCTTTCCTTAAGAAAACTGAAAATTTATTTCGGATTTTTGTAAAAATCTGAAATTAAATTGGTGGTCCCCACTTATTCCAAAACTCACCCCTCTCTCCTCCTTATGTGCCCGGCCCCCTCATTGGGCATAATCTCTCTCCTATCTTATTAATAGGCCCCCTCATAAAGCCTCCATAATTACCTCCCACAATTCCCTCTCATCCAATTTAATTCTCCCAATTAAATTTAAGTTTAAATTCAAATTCATCCCGCCAATTCCACTTAATATGAAATTTAATTTCAAATTTTCATTCTCTCTCCCCAAATTGATTTGGGATTTAATTAATCTTGCCATCTAGGCAAGTAAATGGCATTTATGTTTCACATCAGTTTGGTATCATAGTATGGTTACTTGGGGTGCGGACTCGACGGAGTCGAGCTCTTTTTCACCCCGGGAGAATGATGCAGACATCCAACCGTCCATGGCTATCCGAGGAGCTGAAGATCAACGGCTGTCATCGTCCCACGTTATCTTATATTTTATTTGTAATTTTTAAATCTTTATTATTAATTTTTAGTTTTTACCCTCACTTAAGAGGGTCGTCCTATGTAAGCCTTAGGGGCATATGTGTCTTGTTTTAGTTTCTTAGGCCTATATATAGAGGTCCTTTCTTATGTTATGAGATAATGAATTGTTAATGAAAATTTGCTTTTTGTGTTCTCTTTGTGAGTTCCATCTTTTAGATCTCTTAGTGAGTTCTTTTTCTTTTGAGATCTCTTAGTGAGTTCTCTATTTTGTGTTCTCTTTGTGAGTGCATCCCACTCCCAAATCTCTTAGTGAGTTTTGGGAAGAGCTAGATCTCTTTGCGAGTTCTAGACATTCCTCCAATTTTTCTTTGCGATCAATTAGTGTGAGAATTCAAGGAGAATCCGTCCGGATCGCATTCTTCCTTGAACTCCATCCCTTCACCTGTTTCCACCCAGCACTTCCGCCGCCCCTCCTCCAGCCCGCTCAGGCCGCCGACCTCCAGGCCACTGCCTCCCGCCGGCCAACCACCTTCCACACCGTGGCCGCCCCTTTCCTCCCTCCTCTAGCCGCCGGCTTCCCTCTCCTTGAATTTCAAAAATTGAAATTTAAATGTTTTATGGGCCATTAATTGTTTCCTAAAGTAGCTCCTTAATTTACGCCATCAATTTAATTGATTTTAATTTCAAATTTGAAATTCAAATTGCTTAAATTGATTGGCCTCTAAAATGGAAGTTTTCTTTCCTTAAGAAAACTGAAAATTTATTTCGGATTTTTGTAAAAATCTGAAATTAAATTGGTGGTCCCCACTTATTCCAAAACTCACCCCTCTCTCCTCCTTATGTGGCCGGCCCCCTCATTGGACATAATCTCTCTCCTATCTCATTAATAGGCCCCCTCATTAAGCCTCCATAATTACCTCCCACAATTTCCTCTCATCCTATTTAATTCTCCCCATTAAATTTGAGTTTAAATTCAAATTCATCCCGCCAATTCCACTTAATCTGAAATTTATTTTCAGATTTCCATTCTCTCTCCCCAAATTGATTTGGGATTTAATTAATCTTGCCACGTAGGCAAGTAAATGACATTTACATTTCACATCAAATTCAATCTAAAATTCTCCAGAAGAACTTCCTCTCGGTTCGTTGTCCAGCAAAAGCAAGGAGTTTATAGAATACTTTAGCATAACTGTAGCTATAGAGTTGTGCACTGAAGCACGTCATTGTTTTCTATTTGTTGAAGTCGTTGCTACCTCTATTGCTTCATTTTTGCCAGAATTATCCTCTTATAGTCGTTGTTTTCATAAACTCTCATTGTTGCTTTATAAATTTCACAGAAAATAGGAGTCAAAACAACAATTGGTTGATATCTACTGCAAAAATAGCGAGAGTGCCTACTATCCAACAAAGGTGTATAATCCAGATTGTTATTCCAACAATATAGGAGAAGAATTCAGTAGTTGGCTTGTTATCTAATGGAAGAAGACTCAAAATTAGAGAAAAAAATATCGTCAACAATAAAGACGAGAAAACAGCAGGGAGTAGTTATCTAAAGCTTGAAATAACACTTGAGGTTCCTTTGATTGATTGATATATCAATAAGAAACCTCCAAAAAAAAAAAAGTTCTTAAACCATTCCAAATCTATTCTATTCATAAAATTAAGAAGTTGGCTACTTATCATGAAGCTAAATGATTAATATAAGGAATGTTTTAAAACTATAAGACAAGAAAATATGATGGAGACTTAAAGACAATATATATAAAACCATAATTATATTGACTATGGTATAGACAACAAAAAGACACCAATAAATGAATTGGAGTTCAACAAGTGCATAACTCCAAACAAATGGATTTATTATTATGCCTCCTTAATATTTAATATTGGAAGTACAATTCTCAATCTATTAACTCATATAAAGATGTATCTTGGTGTTAAACTAAAATAAATATTGCATTATCCTTTTTTAAATTCACCTTAATTATGAAAATAACCGTCCTAATAATTAAGCCATAATGTGGATGAATCCTTAGAGGTCATATCCGGTTCAGAAATGCAATTAGGCTATATTATATGGTAGGTCAACTTAAACTTTTGTGCCATTAACTCAGTCCACACTCAATTTGTGATTGGGTCTAATCAAGCTAGACAGGTCCCTAAGCTCATGCTCCTATAAGGGTTGATGGCCTATTAACTAAACTAAGCTTAACTAGTTTAGTAAGACTATATACATCAGGGATTACTAATACAAAAGGTTAGGACGGTATACTAATAAATTCCTACATTTAAGTGGTATAACAAGAAAACTTCTACATAATTGTAAGATTTCAACAAAATATAAAATGTTAAGAAGAATGTATGATAAAAAAAGTTGAGAAGTAATTATTTTTACGAGACAAATGGAGTGCCAAAATAGACCATAAACCTGTTGAAAATTTTCAAAAAAGACCTACTTTGTATGTATGTACCAAAAATAAAGAACATACACCAAATATAGATATCTGAAGATTTAGCAAGAAAGGATAAATTAAAAAAAAAAAAACTGCACAAAAATGAATTAAAATGAATGATTCATAGCGTCAACACTAAAATTTTAGGCTAAGTGTATTTTTATTGATGATGGCAAGTTCTACAAATCGATCCTTCAAAAATCAAGGGAACCCTTTCAGGCTTTATCAATCTAAACGCCAAACCAGACAACATAATCAAATCATTTCATTCATCAAACACCAGAGACATCCCATACCTTTATCCAATTCCAGCTCGACGGAATCGAGCTGCATCTCGAGTCTGGTCACAATATCCTGCACGTGATCGACATGCGTATCTATAACGTGCACCACCAAATCAGACACAGTCCTCGGCACAGGATTATCTGCCTCCGCAGAATGATTCATCGTGAGCAAAAACTCGAGAACATGCTCACCGATAACGATTCCACTACCCTCGACCCTCTCCTCCCCATCCTCAGCACCCCTCCTATGCTCCAAAACGGGGATCTCGGAAAGCAGAGACTGCCCGGTCTGAGAAAAACCCAACCTCGGCACTCGCCCAAGCGAAACAGTAATGACAGTAGCCTCCGTAACACGGGCGGCGAGCCGGAGGGTGAAATCAGATGTGGCAGGGCCAGGTGAGTTCACGCGGAAAATAAGGGCGCCGTCGACGTGAGCACAGAATGGCCCATTAGACACTAATGAAAGAATGTCCTGTAGCTTGAGAGGAGGGCATAGGGCATCGATTAAGAGCTGAGCCGAAACGGAGAGCTTGTGGTTCCCTTTAGGGAGATCGACGTGGAACCAATTGAATTCGCAGTGTGAGGATTCGGCCTCGGCGATATCCCAATCACGAGAGAAGAAGCCGCCGCGGCCATCGAAGCGGTAAGCACGGAGCCGGACGGCTCCGGGGGATGGAAAGGACAGCCCGCGGCGGCGATCGCGATCGGGAAAGTGGAGGGAATGTGCCCCGCGGACGCCAACGGTAGCTGCCTCGGGAAAGCGATCGCGATCGCGATCACGATCCGCTTCCGAATCACCGTTAATGAACTCCATGGAAAAGATAGAAAAAGCTGAAAGACGGCGGAAAATGATTCGTTCTTCCGCTGCCGGTGGATCTCGGAAGTCGCGTCGAGGACAGCGGATCGTGACTTCCTCGGTACCGTTCTCTTCAACGAAGGAGAACGGGTCTCGCGTGCCGCATCTGTAGCGCGGGGAGAGAGCCTGTCATGCCAAGTGCGAACCAGACGAGAGGATGGCGTACTGTAGCAAGGCTATGTTATTTAATGGTAATGATGTTTACTTTGATGCCCATTTATCAAAATATTCAACAAATTTAATGATAATTATATTTATCCTGACTTCTGAATATCTAAGCATTCTTTATTGATGGAAGATTTGATATTTATTATTACTCTAAAAGAAAATTTTAATATTTAGGTCGTAATTAATTATATTGTATTTGGTCAAAATATATCTCAAATCTTACCATCATTAAAAGATGCCTAAGTGCGTACTTATCACATAAATTGAGCGTATTTTTTAATTAAATGTTAATTATCTCTTTTAAGTATAATAAATTTTAAATTAATTATTACAAAAGAAATTAAATATATACAAGTATGTATTTATAAAATTATAGTTTTTCATATCATTTGATTTATTAAAATTTATAAATAAAAAAAAATAAATTTTAAAACTGAGATAACACTTGAGGTATTACAAAATATGAAAAATTATTTTCGGTATTCAGGAATATGTTAAATAGATGCTCGTATTTGTTCCTTCCTCTAAATAAATTTTAATTAAGCTCATTATTCCCTTTAATTAAATGCTAATAAAGCTCATTTTCAAAAACTAGACTTTTTTATCACAGGTTGTGAATTTGGGCTAATTATTAGGTCCGGTCAATTGACTGAGAGATACATCTGAATTTCTCTATGTCTATAATCAGGGGCGGATCCAGTTTCTTTTTTCAGGGTGGGCAAAAAAAAATTTTTTGGTTAGGGATGGATAAAGATGATTAGGATTGATAAAATTAGGGCAAACATTTTTTTTTAAGATGGGGCAAAATACCCAAAATATGCACTCTAAATTTTAAAAATATTTTTATTTTTTTAGGGTGCACATTTGCCCCCCTCACTACTATGGGGATCCGCCAATGTCTACAATAAAAGCACAGTTAAATCACATCTGCTACAGTAAATGTGCTTTGACTATGCTTTACTGTAGATAGAGAGAAATCCGAATGTATTTGTCTGTCAAGTGACCGGACCTAATAATTTTCTGTGAATTTGTGAGATGATAGGAATAAATTTTAATAACAAGCATTGTTGGCCGTAACGAAAACTCCTTGAATTTATTGCGAAGTTCTACCGTTCAAGAGCCATCTATATACAAATCACTTCGTAGTCATCAATAGTCGACAACAAGCAAGCTTTTTGGCAAGCTACTCACAATGACTTGACTACCTATACAAATCATTAGAGACATTATCTCAAGTCATATTCCCTTCACTAATAGTGAAATAATAGAGCTCCTCTTTAATTTAAATATGCTTTTTTTCTCTTATTCTCTTGTTTTATTGCTACATATATGAACTTGTAAGCTTGGTCCTTGTATTGTCCAACTTACGAGTGTGAATGAGTAAATCTGAGCTTGAGTCATCTTTGACAAGAGTTTGAGCTTAATTAATTAATCGAGTTCAAGCTCGAGTTTGAGCATTATTTAATGAGTTTGAGCCAACTCGATTATTGTGAATAGGAGATGATGATTATAATTTTAACAATTAGTACAATATAATGATAAAAATCATAAGAAATTAGAAGGAAAGTAATAAAAATATATATTAAATCTTTAGTTTTAATTTATTTTTAGAATATTTATATTAATATTTTTTAAATGAGTATAGCTCATCGAATGAGCCATGTTATTGAATGGTTAATTAGTTTTGTGCATGAAGTATTAGTTGTTAATTATTTTATTAATTTGCACTAGTATTTAAATTACAGATTTCTGATTTTATGTTACTCAATGTGTAGCCTTGTATACTGCCTTGTGTATTGCTTGTTTCCTGTTTTTTCCTTTATTAAGCAGATGGGCCCTTCGCTTGGCCAAAGCGTGCGAACCGAGCAGCTCTTCGCGATCCGGAAGCAAGACGGAGAGAGTTAGGGAGGCGAGCGAGAGAGCAGTTTTTCCGGTGAGAGCTAGAGGGAGGAGAAGAATCGAAAGCCCGGCCCTATCTAGGTGGAGCCGAGAAGAAGGTTCAAAAGCTTCGTATTGCTCGATTCTTGCTCGTGACAAAGCAAAGAAGGTTTGGTTTGAGTTAGGGATTTTCTTGTTTTCAGTTTCTTTAAAAGATAACCAGGTGATTTCATTCCTTATATCTTTAGATAAAGAAATCAGGTTATGCTTTTCAATGATTAATCTAGATCTAAAACATGCTAGGGATTTGTAACTAGTTTGTGCAAATTGATAAAAGAAAAGCTCCCTTTCTCCCCGTGGATATAGTCACAAATGTGCTCAATCACTTAAATTGCTCCTATTCATTTCTTTGGTTGCTGATCTTATGATTCTTTACATTCAAATTGTTTATTTTCGAGTTAGCAAGATTCTTGGTTAGATATTTATGATCTTGTTTACTATTTTTTATCAAAGATGATTGCTCTTATTGTAGTTTGGAATATATTCATGTTTATTTAATAAAACAACAACAACAACAACATCAAACTTTTATCCCACTATGTGGGGTCGGCTACATGAATCCTTATTCTCCATTGTGTCATGTTAATTCATGTTTATTTAATCAAATGCCTTATTATTACTAGGTTTGATTGGTTGCAAGTTGCTCATAGTCATAATATTGTGCTAGTTTGTGTGAAAATATATTTCTAATTTATTAGAAATAATTAATTAGCTCATTGATTTTAATATTTGTAATTAAATAATTATTATAATTCTTTAATTGCCTAAATCTAGAATTCATTAGCTTGTGTGTTGTGCTCTAATTGTAGGCAAACCAATTTTAAGTCTCTAAATCTTTCATATAAGCTGTTAGTGAGTTCATATTTGCACCCTTGAAATAACAGGATCTTTTACTTGATCCAAACCCGTAGGTTAAAGTCTTAGTGGCTGTCATTTGGAATGATCTTGAGTCAATTGCGTTACAACAATATAGTTTTAACAAGCCATTTATCGAGTCAGATCTAAGTCAGCTCACAAGTCGACTTAACTCACATACACCCCTCGTCCAACGTTATCTTTACTTAAAAAATAGCATAAATAAATAATCATACATAAAAAGGAAAACAAACACGGTACATTAAAATACATAATATGTTAAAATACACAATTTATATTTTTTAGTTCTGATCTAATATTAAAATTTTTAAATAGCAAAGCATTATTTTACAAAATTTAATTCAAAATTTAATTCATCCATCTAAAATTAGGAGTATAAAAGTAATATTGTTACATAGTACCCCATCTTATAGCTTAATTTTTTTTTAGAAATTCTGGCAGCTTATATATTGACTTGTTAGCAATTTTATTAATATGCTCAGGATGGATTTAATATAAAAATTAGATTATTAATATGAAAAAAAAATCAATCTTTATCAATAAGAAATAGATTTGATAAAAATATTGGATATCATTTTTTATTTTAGGATAACAGATGACTTTGAGTGTCATTTTATACAAAATAAATATCTTATTGTTATTACATAGATATTATAAATTTTTAATCAAATGGCTTGCTTTTTAAATTATTTATTTTATACTTTTAATATCTTCATTAGCATTTTCTTTGTGTAATTTGGATGAACCTCCTTACAAATTGATATAATCTATTTTTAATAGCGGGGCAATTATTATTTTTGGCCCACACACCTCCACCATATTCCTCATTGTACATAGGAATACCCTTAAATATCTATATATTTTGATTATAAATATATATGCAACATGCTAGAATTTTCGTAGCATGACAGAAAGAGAGCTTAAAGTCTTAACTTTGTTCAAAGATCCAATATCATGGATGAAATAAGGTTGCAAGAGATATCAAAGTCACTGTGGAAAAATCATAGGGCCGATCGAGTTGAAATAATTTTGTTAGTGTGTATTATCAGTTACAAATAATGCTTCTTACCGTAATTGAGGAAGGCATTTGATGTAAAATAAAAAGGAATTGCAAGAATTTAATAAAAAAATTTAAGCTTCCCAATTTTAAAATTAATGTTTAACAAGATTAGATTCTAGGATTTCTTAGTTTGGCATGCAATTACAAAATAGATTAGAAGGACAATTATAATAACATCAAAATGAAAGTAAAGCTAGATGCGCAAGTAACAAAAATCAACCGGTTAACAATTAAAGCATTCACCTTGAGTTTCCCTCATTCACACTCTTGAGGGCTTTAGTGGAAGAATAATTTGCGCAACAATAATGATGCTACCAAAATACAGAAGGCGCTTACAATTTTACTCAAGGAAGAGTTAAGTGGGAAGGAGGAGGTCGGTGGATGATGGAGGATTTGCCACTGAACGGGATGCCGATGTTTGTCGAGAGTTGTAGTCAATGAGAAGAAGATCCTGTCGACGTAGTTTCTGGTGGATTGGTCAATCTCCCAATTAATGTCGAAGAAGGGGGAGCGAAGAACATCCACTAGTCCTTGATTATCGTAGATTAATCCAAAATATTGCTCGGGATCGGCCATACATGGGTAAGGAGGCCGATGGATGATGTATCTTCTTCCTTGAATGGTGTATGAAGCAAGGGAGAAGAGATGGAAGGGAGGAGGGAGGGGTTACGTGTGGTCGGCCAAGGCTAGAAGAGATTTTTTTTTTTTTGCTAGGAGAGATGCTAGCCTTAATTTCAGATTTTAGGGTTTAATGTGGGGTCGGGAAAACCAATTAAAAATCTGAAATTTAATTTTAGATTTCAAGAGGTGGAAGGAGGGAATAATTCGAAATTCGAATTTCCTCTAATTGAGAATATGTGGGGCGACACACCTTGATGGGAGGGGCTTTGATTGAGAGCAATAAGGGGAGGAATTAATTAAGAGAATAGGTGGCCGGCCAAAGGAGGGAAGGGAGGGGTGTCCACATTCAACGAATGTGTCTACATGTAATGAATGTGGGATTTGGAATCAATTCTACTTTAATTTCAAATTGTTGTGATTAGGGCAACTTCCCAAAATAGGTTTATTTTAATTTGGAAAGTTTTTTGAATTTCAAACTCATTTGAATTTGAATTAAGGGACCTTCCAAATTAGAATGATCTCAATTAGGAAAGTATTAAAGGGATGATTGGAAATTGGAATAAAGAGGATTGGGGTTTGACTTGTCCGACGGCTAGGATTGGGGCTAGGGAGGGGCCAACGACTATGGGTGGGGTTTTGGGTGGAGTAGGGCCGGCGGGTGGGGCTAGGGCCAGCGGTTTGGGTAAGGGAAGGGGGTGGCTGGTGGTGTGGGAGGAGGAGGAGGAGGAGGGGTGGCCGGTTGTTTGGGGTGGAGATGGGGAGGAGGTCGGCGGCTTAGAGAGAAGAAAAGAGGGAGGAAAGGTAGGGGAGGAGAAATCGCGAGCTTGGACTCTTCTTACGGCTGGCGGGAGTTGCTTTTTCCCTTAACTATGGACTTCACCTCTCTCTAGAGCTCTCAACACTCAAGGGAACGAGAATACATAAATTTTCATTAATCAATCATCATCTCAATACAAAAGATAGGGCCTTCATATGTACTATTTTCAATTGTTCTCTTTTGAAGAGAGGAGACCGACGTCCAAAAAATCTAGTATAAATGATTTGATAATAAGAATCATAGTTGGTCCCAAAAATGATGAATCAGCCTTCTTGGTGATGGTCAGCGTCCATGTAATTGGCAATGGCTAGCAACAAAAGTTGGAAGGAGATGAAGAGAATGTGAAAAGTGAGTGAGAAGAAAAATTAACATACTACCCACATATATATATATATATATATATACTTATTTTTTCATTCATACAACATTTAATTGGCAATTCTCTAGCTAGCTAGCTATACATAAATAGAAAGAAAAGTTAACATATCTATTTCTTATAAGAAATAAAAACATAATTTCTCATATTATGATGAAGAAAATTATTCTATTTCTTCTCAACCAAAAAAGTGGATGAAAACTAATTTCAAATCATTTTTAAAATATTTTCATCACATTCTTTCAACTCGGTTAAATAAAACATAGCCAAAATAACATGCCATTACATAAGTTAAATATATAGGAATATATTATTTTCATTTGGTCATTCATACTACCCAACAAGGAGTAAATTTATTTGCATCAAGACCTACTAACATACTACTTATATATAGCCCACAAATTTGCATTCAATTAAGAAAATTCATAAGAAAAATTCTACACATTGATCTTTCATTCAATCTATAACATAGATCATACTAACACCATACTTAAGCTTCATTTGGGACAGCTTTCTTACTACTTTCTATAGCAATTTTTTTATTAAAAATTTGTTGAAAGCAGCTAAAAAGTAATTGTCAAAAGTTTTTCCAAACAAAGCTTTAATCTTGTCTCTACTTCGGATAATCAAGTGAATAAATGCTTCTTTATAAGAGTACTAATGTGCGTAAATACTTCCACAAAGCTCTAACACATTTTATCCATGAACATATCAAAACTAAAACCAAACCTTTAGTGTTCCTTCTGCAAAACAATATTAAAAGTCCAAACATCAAGTAGGGATCAATGAGAATAAGGTGAGTACAAGCGAGAAGCAGCGTCCAGTCACCAAGGAGGAGGAAGAGGATTGAGAGCTAAGTAAGGTTCCTCACCAGCAAGATATGATATTTCTTTGCATGAAAGTCAGATGGTAGCTGTGGGTCTCCGAAAGGATTCTGCTCGTGTGGTTCGAATGCAAAGAGTACGATCACACTATCCCGTATGACAAAATGGTCGTAGACCTTTACAATCGACACAAGCAGGCCGATGGAAGAGCAGATGGAGTTATAGATACAAATAGTCATGGAGGATAGCGGCTTTCACCTATCAACCTCGATGGATAATAATATCTATAACCCAAAAGTTCACGAAATTTCCCCCATTCGATGCATCAGCTCGAATGTGATTTATTTGATTGTGGGGATCGATTTCCTACGGGCGCAAGCCCCCGTAGTTAATTACATCCTAAGCCTTGACTTAGGAAAACTCTCGATTAAGGACGATGTATTATTTACTTCTTAATTTGGTACACAGAAAAAGTTCTTAAGTTATATTCCAAAGAGTATCTTCTATTTATCTTTAATGATGATTAGACCTTTTT